TTTTATCTGGGCAACGTTTCACTTTTGACACAAAAGCTTCATCAGGCCAAGTGAGCAGGTCACCAAATTGGCCAGGTTATAAGGCAGACGGGGAACCAATCAGTAAGTCAATCCTCTTCGGATTTTCACACAAGACCCGTGTTGAGTGTCAATTAATGGCTCTTATCGGTTAGTGAAGTTGTCACAATCTTGCTTTGGTGGATTGGGAGGGGGGTCGAATTAATTCTGATCGGGTTTGGTTCCTTAATCTTCCACTTCAGGGTTCTTCAGTTGATGATTCACCTCGGTTGCCACTGGTTTTTTTCCTGGTCTTTGTGGGGTCGTGAGTGATTCGACAGTTTGGTTTGAGGGGGTTGAGGTCGAGTGGACTTCAGGTGATGACTACTCTTCCTTCTGAGGACCGCACACCAACACGTGTCAGCTCGGTTGATCCAGAACCGTCCTCTACACGCTTGCCAGTTAAACACCTTCTGTTCTATTAATACTGAGGTGCTCGGCGATTTCTACTGCCTCGGCGATCAGTCTGTGTGGCGTGGACCGTAGTCCTCGCCTCAAAACCTCAACATTTTCTAAATCTATTTTGTGTCCCGTGTCGAGTGCTTGTTCCGCAATCGCCGAGTCTTTCAGTAACGCTTGATATTCATCTGCGTTTCTCGGCAGCCTGTTTATTTTTCTCCTATGCTGTCCGACTGATATGTAGTTCCCTGGCCGTCTGTCCTATGTAAACCTTGGTGCAGAGCGCAGTGTTCTCCCTCTGGAAAGTTACTCTTATGTTAGCAGTTGCACTGGTGCAATTGAAGGATCGCCTCCAGGCAAACAGAACCAGGGACTGTGTCTACAAATTTAAGTGTAATGACTGCACGGGTACGGGTCCACAACTACCACCGGGTTGATCACAACTCCGGGATTGGCTGATTGGGGGCCCCTCCTCAAAGAAGATTGCGACCAAGTTTTCGCGCCTCCAGAGGGCGATCCCCGAATATACGCTTGATCTTAGCGAAGGCTTTCTGAATACTGATGGCCCGATCTCGGGTCCCCTGTTTAGCGGTTTGGAATGAAAGCGTGACTAGAAGCGAAAAGGTTCGCTTGCTCCCCGTTCCGCCCAACCATCCGGCGTACTAAGGCGTTCGTACAAGATTTGCTGCCGTGTCTGTCCTGGGAAATGATGATCATCCTAGAATCCATCATTTGCGTGTCCATAAAAGACGTCGTGGAGACTTTGCACATCACGTTTGAGAGCTGGATTGCCTTCTTTTCAGATGAAGGACCCAGTATGGAGAGCTTCAGGGGCCCGTTCGAGGAGGGAAGTTTGTTTTTCACTTACGTCGAGGCCTCTAGGTCAATTATGATTGCAAATTCTGAAGCTTCAGAGAGAGATGTCAGTTTTTCTCCGGTGTCCCGATCAAAATAGAGCATTTGTACTGGTGTTCCAGACCTAGCAGTGGGGAGTGAGCTTCCTTATCAACAGGTGACTTGCTACCTGTGGAAAGCACAGCACCCGTAAGTTAGGGGCATTGGGCCGACGTGTGGGCCAAAAGGGTTCAAAAATCGTTCTATCGGGCCATCTTACCAACCGATACGCCTACGGCAACACCTGGTACCGCAGTCTTGACACTGGTTTCACGCCTCAAATTCAGTGGACATCCATTTATTTCCACATATTGTGTGGTCGAACGAAAGCTTTCGAGGAGAGCATCCTGTCATTTTCTGCCTCAGCACTGTGAGTATGTGGGCACACTAGAAAAATAGACTGCATCCCGACAGCGGTTTACACGCATAGACTGTATTTAATTGAAAAATTCGACAAATGACGCGTCATCTCCGTGCACAGATTAAATGGCGATAGAGTTCGTCCACAAATTGCACGAGCGAAAAACGAAAACGGTTTCGAAAGAGAGCATAAAAAGGAAGCGTAAGACAATGACAAAACGGGCGAAAAACGAGCGAAGAAAGGAACAAAGACAAAATTTCTGTTCCGATTTCTTTCTGCTGTGTGCCTTCACCTTTGTCCACCTTCATCCGATTTCATGTGAACAAGGCTGTCGTACTGCTTGAAATTCTAGCCACAATTGGAAAGTGGAATGACGTTCTATTACCAACCACCTGCTATTATTATTGACCCAACACTCCAGCTACTAAAAGTGGATCGGCAAGAAGATACCATCGTTATGGCCGTCCAAACAACCCGCGAAACCTGGGGGCCCGTGTCGAGCGTTGTATGTGGGCCAATCAGCGATGCGCATTTCCGATGGCCGTCGTTGTCAGATTTGGCAGGAAGCCCTCTCCCTCCGTGTGGTCCCTGACTCGGGTGTGGTCCCAGATTCACTCTATATGAAGACCCGTCTAACTGCACGGTACCGTACGGAAAATAGGGTGAAAACAAGCGGGCAAGACAAACCTCGTGGCGTACAACCTCTCAAACGGCGACACAAAGTGCGTAAAACAGCTGGTGGCAGACGTCCCAAAGGGTGTCCTAGCTACAAGGACGTGCATGCGGTTGGTAAGCGTCAGTCGTCTCAGTTTGTTACGTACACACAAGATGGGCGTCTGTTTTACGACCTCTATGCATCATCACAACCAAGTCGTGAAAGCTCAAAGACGGTTGCTGTGGTCTCGACTGTCCAAAAACGCTATGCGGGATATCCGTCTTCGCCAGAGACAAGGGCAGCTTCCAAGAAGAAAAAGAAAGAACACCAAAGTGTGCTGGAGACGCCCTCGAAAATAAGGCATCACCGTAAGGGGAGTTCGCGTTCACGAAACGTGAATGATTTCAAAGCTGCCGAAAGACGACCCTCTAGGCGACCCTCACTTAAGTCCGTTAAAGTGATGACTCATAATGCCAATCCTCGTAAGCATATCGTGAAGCGCGTTTCTAAGTTATCCGAGAAGGAGAAAGTAGAGCGAAAGCTCAAACGGGAGCTTGGTATCGAAGCGGTCACTCCAAGCCCTACTCCCGGTAAGCGTCTGGCAAGCCTCAATGCCGTAGCCCTAATAAGTGCGGTAACTGTCAGTGATTCGTCACGAAGGATTAGAAAGAATGATTCTTTAGTTGACCGCCGACAATCTGTAGAAACCATTCCATGCCAGGAAGTCCCCATCATGGAGTCTGAAGTTTCGGATGACGCCACCACGGAACCCATGTCCGTGCTTCCGACCGAAACGCCAGCGCTCTCTGATAACAATCAAGTCAGGTTTTCAGTCATACGCACAGTCAGGCGGAAGAAGCGTCCTAACACAGTACATCCTCCAGAAAATCATACTCCTACTGTGGTCCTCTGCCCTACACGTTCGTCAACAGTCGAAAACCCATCAGTCGCGAGTTATCACTCAGAGCAGTTCATTCCACTGGGTGGAAGTAAGTATGGATTTCAGCAAATCACGAGACAGGTGATACATGTAAATGCTCCCAATAAAACATTTGATAGTACCGGGCCAATCCACCTTCCTGTTGATTTACCACATCCAACACAGATTCAACCACATCCCTTTGTGACTTCACTCATTCCTGCGCCACTGGGGTCTTTGGCAGTGTCCTGTTCATCTACTTCAAATGCCTCCAGTATTCATCCTGAACTTTTCTCTCATAATGGCTTGGTTAACCAAGCTGGTGCATGCTGGCAGCCAGCCTCGACAGCTTGCTTGTCAACTGCCAACTTACTGCATCCTAGCATCCCGTACTACCCAGCAGCTCTGTTTTTACCGTCCCTTGTCCCACTAACTCATCAACCCGCAAGTTATTCACCTGTGTTTACGCCTGGCCCTCAACTCAGCTATGCTTTCCTACCCACGACACTGAATGGTTTGTCGACTATCTCACCTGGTAATGGAGCGCTAAGTTTAATTCACCCTTTAAGTATAGGTGATATGGCTATTCCTATTGGAACGACGCAGTACTCTCTGATTGGTTTAAATGGAGCCACTCCACAACTATATCCACCCACATGGAATCCACCAATGCCTTGTTCACCGCGACCACTGAGCGAGTCGCCTGTGTCGTCACCCATCCTTCGTCCGTCAGGACAACTTTTAGGAGGGAATCCCACGTTTATTCCAATATCACCGCACTCTACATCAGACCTGTTCGCGCAGCCTGCGTCTACTCTCGAGAGTGACCTGCCGCCGAGGGAGGGATCTTGTCAAAATAACGATGCAGTTGAGCCTCACGGAGTCGTCAGTCAGACCATATTGACCAGTGTGAGCAATGTGTGTGTCACCTCGACTGAAGATGTATCCTCATTGCCTAAATCTTCTAGTTTTGCACACAAACCTCAAGACACTCACAGAAATTCTGTTAGTTCATCAAAAAAGTCCAAGGACATTGAGTTACCATCGTCCCATGAAGTTACCGCTCCCGGCCCGTCTGCTGTTGACGCGGGCATTCAGCCAGCATCTCCGAACGTAAATGCGGAAGTTGATGCATGGGAATGGGATGGCGTACCCTACAGGAAGAGAGTTTTCCGTCGGGTGAGTATTACTTTTCATTAAGCTCTTTTACAGTAGTCATTTCTGGTACTATCTTAGAGCACGTGCTGCTTTAGGTGTTTAGGTACCTCTTGAGAAATTCCTCACCGAGTTCGAACATGCCAGTCCCATCTTGATGTTAATTTCTAACCTCATGAAGACACAAGTTGGACTATTTTGTTAAACCTTACTGCAGGTTTCAGGATGCTCCTCGCGTCTTATATTACTACAGACAATATTGGTAGTTCGGATACCTTAGTAAGTTGTAGGTCAGCTAGCTGTTGATTCGTTCTTAAGAAATTGCTTGCGTCTCTAACAGTGAGAACATCAGTGCACGCACTGATGATGTCCCCACGGTTGGTGACGAAGCACCTGCAAGCAAATTGCCAAGCTCTACCAACAGGTCACCAGCCACTTGCTGTACAACCAATTTTACGACTGGTTTAGGCGGGCCTGCAACCCGTTGCTGTTTACCATAATCAAAACTAAGAGGATGCATGTAAATTAACCTCCCTGTAAGGTAGTTCTAAACTTGTGTTTGTACCTGCCACAGTTTCGTTCGCCGATGATTTGGAGAAACGGGGTAGGAGCCGGCAACTGATATACTTGATGCGTAAATACAGGGCTGCCGGTAAACTTTTAATTTGGGGGGGGGTGCAAGATGGCTCAGCGGTTAGAGTGCGGATTTACTGACCGGAAGGTTCGTGGTTCGAACCCGAAGAAAGCTATACAATGAAGCAATAGCTTAGGTGCACAAACGCCACTGATGGCGCGACTGGGCCATGTCTGACAATATCTCTAGCCATTGGTGTGTCTCGTTCTGAGGTCAGCATACAGAGAAATGGCAATTAACAGCGCAACTGGGTTTGCCGGTAGTGGCCTTCATATTTCTCCGTAAAGTCATCGTTTGACCTCATGGCTCTGTTCCACCCTTCAAGTGTTTGTGCGAAGAGAACCTTTGAGGAAGTCGGTCGACTGGGATACGGAGCAAGTGGTCAAGCCAGCGCAACCTATGCAGTGCGATCAGTTCACCTATCGTGGGTGGGTTATTTCTTCCGAATACCATTAGACGTACTTCAGCATTACTGATCCGGTGTTCCCACCAGACTCGGGCAATGCTCCGAAGACATCGATGGTCAAATACTGGAAGTCTTTTGACGTCCTCGGCGAAGAGCAACCAGGTTCCTGATCCGTATAGTGATATAGAGCACCCCGCAGCATTGTAAGATCGACCCTCGACGGTTAAGCTGATGCTACACCCACCCCACAGGTGGTGTAGGTGCTGCTCTGACCTCGCTCCGGAGAGAATCATCGTAAAAAATAATGCTTTCTGTGAGATCACCGGGTTTGATACAGCCGCCCAGGTAGAAAAATTTGTTTGCTCCCTCAGTCGGCTCATTCGCAAGCATGAGGTTAGGGTTCGAACCCACCCAGTCTTGCAGTAGCACTTACCATTGCAGGTGTGAAGTGCATACCAAACAATAAGGTGGGATTAGTTAGATCATTTAGTGTTGTTTGCATTTCCATGGGGTCATATCCAAGAAGAGCTATGTCGTCTGCATAATCGATATATGTGAGTGGACGCCCCGGGAGCACCTGAAGTCCACAGACACTGGAGGCCGATAGTGAGTCTCCCCTGATTGGACCAATGATTAAGTTAAAGAGGAAAGGCGAACAAGGACAGCCCTGCTTGATATGCTGAACTCATGCGAGAGCTTCCCGTAGACCTCCACACGTCGGGGGGCAAGGTGGATTAGTTGCTAGAGCTCGAATTTACTAACCGGGAGGTCCGTGGTTTGAGCCCACCTCTGCATCTACTTCTTCTGTCTAGGCGTGTTCAACCTGGTGGTATCCCAGCCCTCTTGCTTCTTTCGGGTGGTATGTTAGATAGACACAAGCAGCACCCAAACGTTTCGTAACCTCTTTCATATCCCTCTGCCAGGTCGCTTGTCTACTTCCACCACTCTGTATTGGGCACAGAAAGCAACGCGCTCTTTGGCATACGCAATACATGGCCCAACCCACGCAGATTCTGGTGCTGGAAACACTGTTCGATGGAAGTCTCTGCTGCAGGACCGAAAGCTTGTTTTCTAATGGCCTCGTTACGGATTCGCCGATACCAACCCAGACGAGCTAGGGCCCTTAGACGACGGTTTCTGAACACCTGAAGACTTTTCAGTTCCGCTGCTCGAATAGGCCAAGTCTCACAGCAATAGAACAAGACAGCCCATACTGTAGCTTGATGCGCACATCCCTTGATATTCAGGGATATACTGCTTTGATACCACGGATGTCGCAAACGCTCCCCGAGTCTTGCAGATTTGTGCATTGGCCTCATCTGTCACACCACTGTCAGAACTAATATGAACTTCATGATACGTAGAACACCCCACTACTTCCAGTGCCTCTCCCTGAATTGTGAGTTGCTTTTTAGTGACTGTTTGTTCAGCAGCATGACTTTACACTTTGTGGGTGCCAGTTGCATCCAAAAGGATTGGGTGACTTTGGTCAGTTCATCCAGAAACATATGCGCCTTCTTTTCAGAGACGAAAATTATGTTTTCTGCATATTCCAGACCAACAAGACTTTTGCCAGAGGCTACTTGAACCTCGATGTTTTGAAGACCTTCCAGCGTTCGTCGCATTATCTCACTGATAACAAAATCTAATAGGAAGATTTACCGATAACACGAGGAAAGTGGCGAGCAGCACTAGACTTTTTGGTTTTAAAAGTATTTTGACCGTAATGAATAATGCAGCGACGGTCACGGCCAACCGCTGGGTGATCGGAGAGAGATGACTCAAGTGGTTAGAGCGCGAGTTTACTGACCGGAAGGTCCATGGTTCGAATCCGACTTCCGCCACTCGATTTCCCTGTCTAGGCTTGGGCAACCTGGCAGTATCCTAGCCCTCGTGCTTCCTTCGGGTGGTATGGCAGCTAGGCACCGGAAGGGTGCTACAGCTGAACGAAACACCATTGATCGAAGTGTGCGGTTTTGAGGGCCGGCCTTTTCCAATCCACCCATCCTCGGGGGATATGGGCATCCTGGTCGCCTTACTGCCTTCACACTTCTATCGCAGTTGACAGTTTGATTTTACCCACAGACCACCTCGTAGCACGGTTACTCGTAGTACGGGGTGTCTCGCTGCTCTTGGTCTGACTGCTCCTGTTTGTTCTTACTGGTATGGTTGCACCTTGTGAAACGAAGTTGCAGTCATTGTCGTCCGCGGGATCATTGCAGCACTCATGTCCGACTATCATGCCAATGCCCCAGTATCGCTATTTCTCCGAACGAATCATCGTTTGACTGTCTTAAGTTTTGTTATAGATTTGATCCCGACCAACAGTTGCTATCTTGCCAGATCAGAATTTTGAGCTGAATGTTAGGGTCGTAAAGTAAATTAAGTAGCTCCGGTACCACACACCTTGCTGTTTCCTGGGTCAAAAGCCCGAGATGCGGCGTTTCAAACTTCGGCCTTGCCAATCGGGAAGTATTATTCCTCATTGCATCTTTTTGCTCGTCAACCCTTCTCCACAATCTTTCTCACAACTAGTTTTTCGTAGTCTGTTCAGCCGAAAATCGACTGATCATTTTTCCGTGGATTCCACCAAACATTTGTTTCTGTACTGTACGTTTTTCTGCCTACCTCAGGGTAAGTGCATCTGGACGTCATTTGTTTGTTGTTGGCAAATGTCCCGACGTTGTTACTTCGAAGCCGTGGAAGGTTGCTCCCACCTAGATCTACCGCATTTGCTTCTGTCTGAAGGGATCACAAATGGTGTACATTTGTTTGGGATTTGGTGTCCAGTATACGGATGCAGGAGAGCGACCTTTCCGATTATGCGCTGGTCATAGTTCGTAATTAGTGGTTATTAACCTTCCCAAAAAGCGCTCACACCGTGTCACCTGGGGTCTATCATCAACAACCATTCATAGACACAGTCGGGTCTTACGGCCATCAGTTTTTGGTGAGGAGTTTCAATGCGAGGTAGTATTTTTTAGTGGATCACTTGGCTTGTTTCTGGCCACAAAATTTGCGGTCTCGCTTATCAGTTCGATTTCCTCCAAGGTCCCACAAACAGACCTTCAGGGCATTTCCTTAGCTTAACGATATCGGACTGAACTTACTATAAAGCCATCGGAAACTTGAAGAAGCACTTATAATGGGAACCCTTCGAAGGAGGAGGGAGGATGGGCTAGTGGAAAAGAGCTACCTAATGGAACCCTGAATGTCTTCAGCGGCTCTTGTTGACATCAGAAAAACCATGCCGTCATCTGCTGAACATGACGGCGTACGCCGCTCACACGAGCCTAAAGAATTTTCATGGAGGATAGCCTAAGAAATGAAGGCTTTTGCAACCGTCACCTATTTCAGCTGAATCAATCGACTGATCAGATTAAGATGGCTTCAGTGAGGCAGTTTGCTAAAAGAATTAATCGCTTCACAAAACGTTTAGCTCGAGAGATGGGCTAAACTTGGAAACAGCACAGCTATGCCTCTTCAACAAAAGCTCTGGAAGAATCCTGTGGGCCTGAGTAGAGCAAAGGGTCACCATCGGCAAAACAAGTGCAATGACTCACCTGATGTCCCAAGATCTTTGTGTATTTTTATCAAATGTTGTTTCAAGCGCGTCTTCACCGTAGCCACGGTGCTTGCAGTAAGACCTACGTATTCATCATGCTGAAAAAACGACCGGGGAATTCGGATGTGGTTTAGTCAAGTGGGAGTGGCCCAAAGACGGAGAGTTAAGGACTTACATGCACAAATTCGTTATCCTCTAAGTAGCAATCGTAAAAGTGGACTCCAACTTATTTCTGGACATTGCTAACATTTAACTCAAAATAAAAAATAAGACCAAGAAGGGCATCAGACAACTGCACTGCATTACTGTAGCAAAACACTGCTATACTGATGATAATATTGACAGTAAAAGACATTCTAAACGTTTATTGCGGACTGCACGACATATCTGGCTAAGTTCCGAGTACCTCAGGGGCGACGTAATGTACATTTCGTCCTAGGCTAGAGGACCACAAAGTGTTGAGTCGGACGACTTCACATTTCCAGGGTTTTTGACAGTTTTACCGAGCGAGTAAAAAGACGCGCCCGAATTGGCTTTACCTACCTTCGTAACTCCACGGTACTGTGTATCTACAATCGTGCGCCTGGAAGAGTCTTATCTCTCTTTTCAACTCAGAAGTTAATCCCGAATGCATCACATGAATTGGAGTTACTCGTGTCCAGTTGCCGCATGAACATGGTTGCTAGGGTCCCTGTATGTCCAAGTCCGCGAGGGCCGTTATCACCCTTAAAACTAGCGCATAGCACGCATACCGCTCACGATTTAATGAGTTAGGGTCGCCTTTCAGCTTGAACGGGTGGAAACAACAGATAATTTGGGTGAGTGGACTCATTGACAAAAATCTCCGAGGGTTATTGTAGTTCTGTAGATAGGCGGACATAACCCAGGGCCTGATTTACGTGGACAGTTGGTCGTTTTCTGGAACACTTGTTACTCAACAATGGAACACCGGACACTTGTCTGAGTATATCAGTCAAGTGCGATTGAGAGTATGTGACCACCGTACTACTTCAACCACTACTATTCGTCGTCACTTTTCAAACCAGTTTTGGAAATTATTTATTACTACTATCATTCTTAAATTATTGTTTGCAATCACCTACGTAAATATATGGCCTCATTTTTCCTGCATTCTTTCCCATTAGTCCGACTGTTCTCCAACTTGGCATCGTTGTTACCGTGCAATTCGGCACGTACGTGACGGTATCTTGATCCGCGAACGGGATAGTGTCCTCTTGTGCAGTGGCCCCGACCGATGCAGCCCACCGCACGTGGCCAGGATTACCGCGTTATTCCCAGATCCCAAGACCGGTACGTGTTATCCAGACCACTGTTTGCGCTGCATAAAAATTGCTCGTTGGTTAAATTTCTGTGCACGCTTTTTCGAGTTATACTCTACGATGAAATGATCTAGCACTTTGTATACTTCTCGTAAACGTCATACTTTAACGGTGATTGTTCGGACAAACAATCGTGCAGCAGAACTTTGGCCTTCGTAATATTGCAATAATGGAGTGATAAATTATATCAATTAGCTCCTCAAAATCATCCTGTCTTTCTAGTTAGATGACCCGGTTAAAGGCGCGTCGACCGCCTGTCGGTACGGCAGACACTGAATAACGGACAAAACACCCATTTTCATCACTATCATTTCTAGGCTACCACTGTAAACAAGCGCACTTGCATTCAAACACCAACGGCTTAGGGAGAATGTCGATAGCTCAAACAGCGTAGGTGATCGTTGGTTTGCTCCCTGAGTTGAACAGTTTGATTACAAAAGTTTCACCACCAGTTGAAGTGACATAATCGGTACGTTGTTAGGAAGCCGAGTGGAACGTAGCGGTGGGTGAGTGATTGTCACTGACGTTGTGACGTGAAAGTATATAGATTCGATGCCATTTGTTTTGAAATGCGGCTTATCTGACTTGAAATACTCAACAGAGCTCCACCTATTCGTTAAAAAACGTTGATTCGACTGGCCGGGCTCCTGTAATCACTATTGGAACTGTATCTTCAGAGAGACGTAGCCCCAACTGTATTTGGTAGATTGCGAGCAGTTCCGCCCTCGTAAGTTCACACGGCTGCTAGTATGTTTCGACAGGTTATGTTTTCGTTCACTGTATCCAGTTCACCGCAATGCAATTTCCAAGATCAGTAAATAACGTAACCATCACTCCACTGTCCAACAGCAGCGGGTACTATTATGAGGACATCTCTTAGCACACCGAAAACGTGACAGTTTCACTGTCTGCCATGCTCATCCCATTGATATTTTTTAGTGTACGGAAATAGATTGTCGGACAATGTTGACGTTTTCATTTCGCAGATTTCGTGTCTCAGAAACCTTATTTCCGGCTTAGGATTTGGGCCATTGTTGACAAGCGCTGGCAAACACTTACTTTCCTTGACCGATAGTTGCTGATTTTCGCTTGAAAACTAGTTGGTCCGATAATATGCATTCGATCTGTTTTCGTGTGTTGGATTTGATAACAGCGGAGTTTCCAAGAAGATTGCATTAGGGCAGCATTGCGATTCCCTTATGTTACTGTTGTGTCTGGTGGACGATCGTGCAACTCTGTATCGGTCCCTTGGCTTCCTGCTCCACCCACTATGGTATATCTAAAGGCACGGTAGCCCTACACAGCCCTTTATGGAGACAAAAGGATAATTATTACATCTATGTCTACAGGGTGTTCACAGTGTTCTACAAGGTCGTGCTAGAATCACCGTGAGGGGGCGAGAAGCGTCGAGTCAAAGATGCTCGATCCGGATTGGCATCCTGACCAATCAGAGCATGCCTTCGTTTGGTCCGTGTCCTGCACGTGACACTCGTCCAAATGTAATATTCGGTTCTTAGGGACGGCTGGCCTCCGTACAGTTACGCAACAATTTAGCCGGATTTGGATGTTCCTACTAATGCACATCCACTGAAACATCGACTGCAACGTCTGGACAACAGATGTTACTGTGCATACTGGAGGCTTGGTCCGCTTTCGCGCCCATTATCCGTGCCGCGGATTTGATCTCTGGGCCTGTGACGGTGGCATGTTTTCCTCGCTTCCCCCACGACGCGGTGGTGGCTACCATGCAAGACACCAGTCGGGGGACCTGATCACTTTCTCAGTCAACGTGACCATTTGATTTGATGAGCCCCATTTTGGTCCATGGCCACTCTGCAACCGGAAGTAAGCACCAGGACTGAACTGCAGACAAATTTTCCAAGAATAGACAGGAACGGCTGAAAATGTTGATCGTTATCCAGCGAATGAAAGTGTCTTCTATGGAACTACGATCTTTTCGAGGCTACCAACCCATAGTTAGACACACCTATACTCAGTGCGTTTTTTCTGCGGCTTCTTTGTATGGGTGATTTTTTTGAGTGAACAATATTTCAAGGCCAATGAATGCCTCGAATTAGAAAACGGTGCCTAATGAGATATAATATCTTGACCTGTCGGAAAATGTGATTAGCTTAAAACGGACTAACGTCACTGATAGCTCTGCAGCTATAATAGTTTGTGAAAGCTGCTGTAGCCCATGGTACATTCGTTGACTTAAAATATACGGGAGGACCACACTTCTATCTAAATTTGCATCCGGTATTCTCTTCCCGAGTAGACGTATGCGTAAGTCTGTGTCCTGTCCGGATAAGTGTTTTTCAGAGTGCTCATCGTGCTGGAAAGACGCATTAATCTGTGATAATTCGTACCAGGTTAGAAGAACGTGATGCTTTCAGCGTATAAATTATCATAAATTGTATATGATCTATGCCCGTAGATCGAGTTTTCTGACGAACTGCTTCATATCGCCCATGTTTACTGGTCACGAAGTCCTCCATTAGAGATAGCTAGATGCCAGATGTCGACCTAAACAGACAGCTCGTGTACGCGATTAACAGGCGTCCATCGATCTTAACTGGGAAAAGTCAATGGGGTAACTGCAACGAGATGGAAAGTAGAATTTTATTGGGCCTTTTGGTGAATACATATGCCCTGACAGGAACACATGGCTTCCTTGATGCGTAATGTTCAGTAAGCTATTGGCGTCCTCTAATGAACAGAAGAGATTAGTTAGTTTATCAAAATATCACTAGTATATATATCACGGGTAGCCACCACTTTCTTAGCAAACACTCTTGAAGTCAAACCCACACCTGAGGCCAGCGCAACTTTGAAATTGAATGCAGATTATAGTATCACTTGATCTGAGCATACGTACGGAGAAGTGCATGCATTTTTCCTGAAAATAAAGCTAAGTACTTTAAAATCCGGATAAGTCACCACTCAGTGAGATTGTGCAAAGGGTTATGAATTAACAGAAACATTCCATTCTACAGTCTAGATAAATAAAAACAATCTCCGAAGGATCACAATGGTGTTGAAGAATGAGAGTTCAGGCTTTTCACCGTTTCTACGGACCAGTAAAAATACATAAAGGAGCGATACCAGTACGACCAATCGCATCATTTCCAGAGATGTCAACGTACAACCTTTCAAAGGAATTTGGGATGAAGTTTGAAACTCCATCAGCGGATCCGATCACTTCTAACAACAAGGGGACGAAATGACGATCTCATTTGATGTAACTACGCCAAGTGTATTGTCGCTGAACTGTTGGATAGCATGGCATACCAAATGGATCCCTGGAGAAAGATCTCGGAGAGCTACTCAAAGTGCCTGACCACGTTTTGAACATATGAACAAGTACGACGGACGCCAAAGGGGTTCCCAATCTCAGGATTTATCACAGTGCAGAGGCTCGAACGCAGTACTGTTATGTATAAGTCCAGAAATATGGGTCTGCCACGTAGGTTGTACTTTTATCATCGTCGAACGGACTGAACTACAGCGGGCAAGCCAATTAATCAACGGTGACACGCAATTCACAATGGAATAAAGGAGGAATGGAAAGCTGGGATTTTTTGATGCCGTTATTGCAGGATCGCCAAATTGACAACTACAACCTGAGTCCCACAGAAGGTGAACGCACGCAGATCAAATCCTCAACCACCACAGCAATCCTCAAAACTTTCAAAAACAGCTGCATCCGGACGTGGTCGGGCAGATTGAAACACACTGTAGCACCGCGAGAAGAGAAAAGTCCGCATAAAGTTCTTCAAATAAATGGCTGCTCGGGAATTTTCGTTTGGCGAACCCTAGGAAAACCCAACCCACCCGTCTCAGCAAAACCAATAACCTTTCCATATATTGAAAAGATTTCAGAAATGATTACAAAATTGTTACGACAACACCGCGGTGGCCTACACATCGGTGAATATCCTGGAGCACACTATCTATGCCGAAAGGAAAATTGAGCAGAACGACGAAAACCAACATTGTACACAAAATTCGACGCAAAGATCGTGATAAGCTGTATGTGGTATAGACAAGAAGAAAGCCTTCTGCCAGACTACATGGACACAAACCTGTTGTGTATCTGTGTCTACATACGAGACCGGCCGAGCACGTCAAGATACTGTATTCCTTTGTTGTTACTCACCCTTGCGATTATGATCAAGGGTGGTGGGCCAACCAACTAGTGTCATGAAAAGTTGCCCTGGTAAACGTATTTTCTCGCTAAAAATTCTTCACGTCATAAGCGTCTCGGGTAGTCTGATACGAAAGTTATAGCTGCCTGTCTGTAAGTGACTGCCGGACGATCATACGGAGTGGATATTTAGGGGTCGTGCTGCTTACTAGAAAAACTCTTCTCAAACGTCAAATCACACAGGTTATCTTGTCGCACTCCACGCTATACTGTTACTAAGTCACCCGACTTGAGTTTTTGCCCCGACTGCCCAGTTAACACTGTTCAGTTTTTTGTGTACGTACTTGGTCGGTTATAGGTTTTTACATTCCAACACAGGCATAAAAATGATGGCTCTTCTGTGGTACTATCGACCGGAGCATGTTTCTGGAACCGCTCCGAACCACCCAGTGTCGAACGAACTCTACGCAAGTCGGCATTGTGATACAAATCCAGTGGATTGTATAGAGGACAAGGCTTACGTACTCACTGCCAGCGCGTTCTCCAGATACATGGCGAGGGCGAAGTATCGTCAGGTGAGCTTGCCAGTGTCTCTGCTTTTGTTGTTCAACTAGTTTCTCCTGGTGGCACGCCATTTCTCACCAACTAGCCCAGTCTTCATGCCTTTCAATTTATCTTTTGAGTGTTTGGGGGCGTAAAACTCTAATGGGGGCGACTTATTCCCGTAGGGACTAGAGGTGCATAGCGGTTAAAGAGCAAGCAGACACTTTCTGTTTAACACTGCCTCAAATATACTCCCTTACCATGGGCCTCTGAAAGAGAGCCAGTTTCTTTTCGGAGGTGATGTTTCATCATCAGCTTGATAGAACACAGGTCTATGGTAAGTACCTGGCAAATAACGTTCCACTTACGACTGTCTGTAGTGCATGAAATGCTGTTGAACCCGCCTTGATTTTCGTACTGCATTACTCATAAGGTTGCTGTCGACAGCCCGCGACCGGTTTCGCCCTCCTTTGGCTCATCAGGTATGCGCGGTCCCTAAGTTTCCGTCAACCTCATGTTTTACTTAAAATCAAACGAAGGATTCAGCTGGGTTCCAGGCGAGTCTCTCGTAAAACCAAATTTGTTTGCAAATGAGTGTATTCCGCCTTAGTTTTCTTCAAGTTCCCGGACATAGTGAAGTACAGGATAATGATCTTCGGTGTGCTGATTTCGCAACCCATTGCTGTGTTCTGAACATTCCCAATTTTTATTTCGAGCCAATTTAGGGCATTTTGGCAGCACAGTTAAAGCGGTCGGTTAGATGACAATTGTCACAACCTTTATTTCCAATCAGATTCCATGCGATTTCTACTTTACTTTTCCGCCACTTGCAGAAATCTAACTCCATGCATTATGTGAGAACTCGAACCATCCACATGATTCTATCTAGGCAGTACACTACAGATGTTTTCAGTTGGATTTAACCACCCCCCTCAGCAGATCAGTTATAGTTTCGCTTCTACGAACTTGTAGCCACATTTTCACCATGCAAGTCGTTATCCCAATTAAGTTCTTGAGGTCGGATGGATATGGAAACCCATCAGGGCCGCATTGGAATTCGTTCATAGTCAAAGATCACATCCTTTCGTTTGAAGTTTCACGTGATTCCGACGAGCCCTTCCGTTTTTTGGGCATAACCTGTATTTATTGTTTGAATTTGCTTCATCTGTGTGCACCTCAAACATGATATGGACCCTAGAAATTACGGTACACACTGCATAAGGAACTCACCACGGAAGATACTTTCAGCTCTGCTGGACTCATCAATTGATTCGAAGTAGCGCGCATAATTCTTCCGATAGCTCAGTCAGTGTTCGTTATCCTAGTTCTGTGTTCCGTGCTCTGCGGAAGTCAGGTTTGACCGTCAGACAGACGTAACTTTCGTTAACCTCGGTGGAACCCATCATTCGCGCGTCCATGTAATTTGACGCTTGTCATTGTTGGAGTTGGATCACGTTCTGTTCCTCGGTTTTGCCAAATGAGCAATTAGTAGTAACTTTACCTCGAATGTCCATACCTAGAGGGTATTGTTTGTTTGTCGTTTTCGGGATTCAGCTGGCTGACGTGAGCGCGGCTGTGTGCTTTGTTGATGCAGTTACCGGACGATTTCCATCATCTGGGCTACTCAACGTTTCACGTTTCTTGGACATATTGGTTGTCATAACTATTTAACCGAGTTACAGTTCAAAACCGAATATGTATGCATCAGATTTTTAGGTTCGTCGTCAGCGTGCAAAATTCCACTCATATTAGTAGTTTCAGTGTTGTGTAACAATGCTTCTTATGGCAACCGACATTGCGATAGGGAGAAGATATCGTAAGCAAGGTTATTTCCAGAATGACCATGGCCAGAGCTGCTTTTAGAAGTCTACATTATCCTTGTTCGACCGAAATCCGAAACCCGATAGAGCCTTCGAAGTCTGATGCCACACCTTGCGAGTCGCTGCGAGTCAGTTCGCTGCGTTGCCGAAGAAGCCAGTGAGTGTGATTTCACCCCTTCCGTCTACATATATACACGTCCTGAGCTTAGTTGCAACCATAAGCAAAGGACTGATGGGACAAAAGTGACGTTCAGCCTCTGCAGTTGACCGAGGATGTCAGTATAAACCTAACACTATCATTAACCTGAGTTATAATAATGTGGTCAGGTGCACTCTCTGCGGAACTATTTTCTCCATTCGTTGCATAAAGCAATGAGGAAATGGATTTTTGAACAAACGGCTTCACCGACGGTGGTTGGGCGAGCGAAGTGGGTCAATGTGTTGTTGCATCGCAGAAACTGTGGTTGTGATTAGAATGTCCCCCTTCAACTGGTCGTGTGTGTAATGTAAGTGAAGTCCCTGTAAAGTACCCACCATCCAGGCAGAGCAGCATTAACGAGCAAGTCTGCACTCCACTCTGGAGCGAAGATCTTGTATACCTTGGGCATCATTTCATCGGTTGATGCGTGAAAGTTTGTCGACCATGGTATGGTGGATTGTCCCAGGTCCATGCCTTGAAGTGATTTTTTCAAAATTATATATATATATATATATATATATATATATAACCGAGTAGGCATCTTTATTGTACTGAGAATTTTGCGTGANCAAAATTATATATATATATATATATATATATATATATATATATAACCGAGTAGGCATCTTTATTGTACTGAGAATTTTGCGTGATCCAACTGATCTGGTTTCTTTGACTACGCAGTGGAAGCATCCCTCACTTACTCGTCCATTCAATCACGGAAAAGGTCTTGACTTTTCGGCTAGTTCGCAAAATTCAGGGGTAGACAAAAAGCTGCAGATAGTAACTTGTCCCCTGTTTCTAGATATACCTTTCCGGAGTTTGACGAATGCCGTAGCCACCTGTCCATTAAACATTATTATTGATTTGTGTTGACGCCTGAATTAGCCTAATGGCATACAATCATCATGTAAAGCCCAAACCAGCTAAGTCGGTCATCCTACAAATCACACTTCAGCCTTGTTAAAAGTAGCACCAGTGTAATACTAGTGTGTATAGTGACACGTCACCTGAGACATATCAGTGAATTGGCGGTTGATTTGCTGTACGGTACGGTTGCTATCCCTGTTTGTCATGGCGACCAATAAACTTCGATTCACTATCTTTACTCCCCTAATTCTGTTTTGCATTGTTTCATTGGAACAAGATGAGATTCTCGAAGTACCTAGTTTATAAAGGCTTTTCAGAACCGACGAATGAAGCCACAAATTTAGCGTTCGATTGCCTTCCAACCTATGATAAAAATCTCAATATTTTGAGCTGACAGCACTTTACCGTTTCGTGACTCAAGGTCTGTAATCAGTTTTCTGACGCCCACTCTAAGCTGCTGGCAGTTGCATAGGAGCCTTGTATGACGCCTGATTTCTTGCCGATGTTTCTGGTGATCTTTTGGATCTTTTGCTTAGAGTTTCCAACATCGTAGTTATCAGTTCTCTTGACACCGACAAAGCTGAACGGGCCTTGAATTGAAAAAGATAGGTAAGGCTGCATGGGGGAACCGTCGTAGTGCTCGTAGTGTTTTGAAGACCGCTGGTCCTTTTTCGTGTCCCAGTATCAACGGGCTTCTTCGACCTTAGATAATTACTGTGTACAAATAAGCTTAAAAGAGTAAACACACGAACATATAGGATTAATTTTTCGGAATCGCTATATCAGTGTGAAACGGTAACCCAAACGGAACAAATTGAGCGCAGAACTGACCACATCACTGGGAAATAAAGCTTTATTTACTTACTATTGCTGAAGTATGCATGAGGCCACCCACCGTACAGGTGTTCCACTTTCATAACTTCAAATCACCGCATTTCCACTAGCCGCCCATAACAAGAACTCCCGCTGCTCCGCTGTTTTTTGGTGATATTACAACCCATCGTCTTCACTGGCTTCGTTGTTTTTCGACATTTTCTAGGACTGTCTCATGTGCTAAACCATGTGCATTTTGCCTTAAAAACATTGGGATACCCATCTCATGAAGTAGTAAACCGTACTGTTCAGTGAGGCTAATAACCACACAACTGAGCATCCACTGACGATTTGATGTCTATTTTGCGATGGGTCCTTTCAATTGGAGCATTCAAATAAATCACCGTCAAACTACTCTTAGCCTCACGTCTCATGGTTTGCTCCAATACGTCTTAATTATGCAAACGCGTCGGTCTGTAATGGTTTCTCTGTCAAGCCCGTTTACCAGCACCTGTGTTGTGCGCCACAGGCAACCGGTAAGGCTAAGTATGGTGTCCGAAATTCTGTCACACAATAGATAATGTCATATAATAAGTGTTTCCATTCACAAATGGATGCCTCTGGTTGGTAATAAGTCATGAGAAAATTGCTAAAATTTCCTGGTCTCACGCGGGACTTTATGCTTTACAGATGGAGCCGATGAAATAGTTTTTCGGACGAAGATAGAGTGGCCCTTTTAAGCGAAATCTCTTTGAGAGCAGCGACTGGTTCCCATTAGTATGAATAATGCAGAATTCAAAAATGTATTTGTGATGAGCGTCGACGGACTTTTACAGTTGCAATTTAATAAACGAACACCAGCAGAATTAAAAGTTCGTTTCAACATGTAGAGCCATAAGCCAAATATTTGAGAGAATGGATTACAGTCCACGTTTTCCCGATGGATCTGTTGATAACCAGTTCAGTCGGGTTGCTTTAGTTTGTCGTGTCTGTGCACATACAAGAGGACTCAGTAGTCTGACAGGGGTGATTTTTGAAATTAGTGAACTAGTTATGAATTTCGATCAATTGTTTACTAAGTCCCTCTGAAACGATAGTTATGAATTTGTTATTGTGGGACAGGCACCGAGAATAACTAGCGAGATGACCAGAGCTTATGCGATTTCGCAACATTTTATCCAACGGTTCACTATCCTTACATTTGGTATGACATAGGTATAACAATGTGAGGGCCAATCACACTTTTTTCAGCCTCTTGGGGTCGAACGATGAAGTGTTCAAGCGCAGGCCGGAAAGTCGCGGTTTCGAGAGATACCCACTTCTGCTGATACCCAATAAGGATGAAGTAGCTGTTCGGTGCTTCAGCGGACATTGGCCTCACTGATAGGGCGAAACCTCAATTCAAATCACCCAGAACAATTCCGTAGAACCAGTTATGCAGTATGTGATTGAGACCAATATTCCACATAAAATGAGGTGTCAGCTTTTAAAAAATCAGAGGAAAACTAGTCTAATCTAAACTGCAATAAAATGAGGAAAGGATGTTCGGAACGGGGAATAGGTGTGGTGTAAACTGTCGTTGGTCCAGCCACACCAAAATAAACCCAAATTCAAGACCATTTCTTTATGGTCACTAATTTGGTTCGAGGTGTCAAATGGCTGCAACCTCTGCCCAGTAAAAGAGTGCTGCGGCTTACAGCCATGAGGTGGCAATTTGGCCAATACTTTTTCTTACGGCTACCGTGGGTTTATAATGGCGATCCCAGGCACTTCATTGGTCTAGTAAGACTGAATGAACAGTTGCTCTGAGATCAAAAAGGGCGAACACTGATGGCTTCCGGTGGTGTAGAATAAAGTGGTTGGGTGATTACTCAACTCGCGGACAAACTGCTCAAGTTCGCTCGTCATAGACTGAAACCTGTAACTTGCTACGAGAATCGCATACGTTTGAAACCCGATCAAGTTAGCAAGAATTTTTATTACTTGCAATTACTGTAAATGCCAATAGTGCTGGGAGCGGTTTCTTGTTAGCTGATTCCAGAATTAGAGTTTCTAACAATGCAACTAGCACGAATAACACAGTATCCACAGAAAGCGTTATAGTAACCGGTTGGTAACTTTGACTGGCTTTTTATCGGGGTTCAACTGTATTGTTCGTTATGGACGGAGTCTAAAGTTTTATCCACTGTATCAGTGTCACTTAATACCATTCCTGGTATTGCTAAGACAAACTAACTGGAGCCAGCGTGCATTTCAGTCAGTTGACTCGTCCATTCATGTATCGCATATCAAACCGGGTGTTCCTTAAGGGCCTATCAAGTTATTTCATTGGCTTGCCCCCAGCTCATACATTGACTTAGTTGAAAATTAGAGGGGTCAAGAGGTGCACTGCACGCTTGAAGCAGTTACATTTCCACAGGTATCTGCAGGGATAACTGATGAGAACTGATGTAGATATATCACACATCATCGTTCCATTTTCCGAAAATACTGGGTTTTGGTTCAAACAAATAAAAGTTGAAATTGGTGGTCGAGTCATTCGTTGAGCCCAACAGTTTTACCAATCACCAACTAAACAACCCCCACCGACTTTTACATCTGTTTTGCATGAGATTGTGTTGTCTTTCTTAGTACGTTTGTTTTTGTCGTGTATTCACAGAATAAAATACACGAAGCATTTCCGACTTATTATACTTCCACACTCCAAACTCTCCATCTCAATTTGTCTGAATAATTGGAATAGTCGAGCAGCTGTGTAATTCGCGAACGGCATATTGGTAAAGTTTAAACCAATCAACGTCTCGATGTTTAACCAAAATTTTATATTGGAAGTGACAAATAACTTTTGATTACGACCAGAGGTTAGATTGTATGCGTGAAAGTTAAGAACTAGGGTCGGTCGACTGACCTTGAATTGTCCCCTGCCTACTGAAAGCCCGGTCGAATCAACCAGGCCATGCTAAGCGGAATGACCAAATCCGATATTCTTGAAAACACCCTTTAAGCCTGTGAATTTTAATGACCACGGCTACTGTGGTGTAATTCGAATGGAACATCCTTTCGAATGCATTTCCTTTATGTAACACGCAACTTTAGTAGAGCTACAAATGATGTCTATCGATCCATTGTGCGACAAACCCAGCCAGTAGACTTTCGCACAATACCTGGATTGGTAAGAACCAATGAGTTCAAATATAGGTTCTTAATATGCTGCATACGAATTCATTAAAGGCTGTTAGGATTGTGGCTTGCCACAGATCATTTATTCAGTCACAGTGAATAATCGTTGAAGTTCTTTCTATTTAAAGCCTAGTCGAATGGAATGGTTAGTGTGCATCACAACGGGTCTTGTTTATTGTTTGATCGAAATATACATATATATATATATATCCAATGTTTTAAAGTGAATATGTATTCTTTCTTTTCGGACAATCTTTCCATCCGGAAAACAAGCACAATAGTCTCAAATGAGGATCACCCGTGAGACTTGATCAAAGCGGTCCTTTTTGGGAACTCTTTATTTGAAGAGATTGAGAAAATGTTCAGTTTTATTTGATAGCTGGAGTTAAAGTCAAGTTTTGGGAAAACCTGCTGTTTGTTTGCGCTGGTTTGGCAAAAAAATCTCAAAGTGTACAATACGCCTTTCTTTGCGTTCAAAATGTCTAATTGTCACAAAATCCTGTAAAGCGTAGTACAGTTGTCTTCGTAGTTTTTTGGACGAAGTTGCTGTTCTTGGTCATTCACAGTGTATTCGTTGTTTCAGCCGGTTGATGGATCGTTCTTGGATTTCTCTACCACACAGGAAACCCTTACAAAACAATGGCATCAGTTCATTGAGTTATATTGCTGAATTGCCTAGTCCCATGTTGGCAAACGTTATTCAACAGTAAAATGGTCGATCACTTCGTAGTCAGGTTTACCGATAAAGTTCACAGACTGGTTTGAAGCTGAGTGAAGCTATCCTGAAATGTCGGAGCCCAGTATTTTTGAAAATTTGAGATATCAAACCAAACAGGCTATATTTTCCACCAGGACTGGCACAGAATTATTAGCCCACACCACAACACGGTCACGCAGAACTTACCTGCAACCAGGTTTCATGGAACGGATTTTGCCTGCATCATTTCCACGCCACCTTGGGCAGCATGCACCGTGATTCATAGTTGCGCCCTTAATCATTCGCAATGGGTGTATCATTTTGCAGGCAAACAGCATTAAGTTAGCAAACTACTGCCACCGTCATGTCGACTTCTCTGATCATCGAAGTTTTTCCTGATGCGAAACTGGTGCCGCGATCCTGAGGTAGGGAGTCCAGAGTGTCTATTCCGTCCGCATCTTCAGTTTTAAATATTTACACACTTAGTGCTTCCCTAGACGTACTTCAAAAAGATCGTAGCTATTCGCCCTTTTTAGTCCACGGTCATTACCGTGGAGAACTTAGAGTTCGAACGTCAGTCAAAGAGATTCCACAGCGAATGGGTGATCACCAACGGATCAACCTATTCGTACGTCTTCAGCAAACATATGAGAAGTTTCTCCGCTTCATCATTTTACGACAACACTGTGACCTATTGATCCGCTATCTTTGACGGTTTCATATTAGGTGGACAGCTCGCTGTGGAGTATTTGTGACGGAGCTGATCGATCTGTAGGAGATGAGAATATCTCACCTATAAGCATTTGATCATCTAGGGATATGTGCCACTGTACCAGTTTTTAGTGTTGACCTAAACAAGCAGACCCACCGACCTACGCTTCAATTTATACCTTATAATGCGCACCAATGCATACAAGCCACGGGATTACTGGTTACATTAAGTTCAGTTATTGGTCAATACCAAGAGTACCCACCGGGGGTAAACAATAAGCCTAAGTTTGGCATTCAGACATCTTTGCTTGCCGTGATCAAAGAAAAGCAGTAGGCTTGCTTAACGGTGCTCTCCTTCCCGATTTCAGGAGAAAGGTGGGTCGCTTTTGGGGAGTAGTGGGGCAAGGATTGCTGAATGAGTCTGCCGTGATCCTCTTAGAAACTTGCCATATATTTTGTCTTATTTGGGTTCGCTTAGACGTCTTCTTGTTTGTTTTTGTAACAGCGACTCCTCTCCGAAAGCACTCTATCTTTTTGTGCTTCAACTCTCCGTTTCAGTCGGCTCATCCTCGACCACCACTCAGTCAGGTAGTACCAAAATTAACTCACTCAGTTAACCAGACTGCTGGACCCTCGGATGATGCTATCGAGGTAAGTCGTTTTTTGTAACGCAATCTTTCGTACACTCCCCTGTATTGTCTGACGGCTTCCCTTGTCGCAGTCGACAGTTGAGGGTATTGGCTTACTCCTACCTAAAGCCGTCACCTTGTCTTGGTGGTCCGACTTCTGTGCTGCAATGATCCTGCGGACTATATTGGCTGAAACCCAGTTCCTAAAGGTTCAACCATGCTAGGTGCCTCGCGGCTCAGACTTTTGAGTCAGAGGCTAGGGACAAGGTCCCCGAACAAAACCGCATATCCTCCTACTGACCTGTGCGTCGGACTTCCGAGTCAAAGGCTCAAGGTAGGGTACCTCAAACAAACCGTCTTTCTCAGCCTGGGCAACCGGGAAGTATCATTCGCCCTTGCAGCTCTTCATTTAATGGCCCTTCCTCACACCCCTTCCACCCATAAAACGATGCAGTGCGATCAACCCATCTGCCAGTCACTCAACCATTCTTCCGTGTCTAAACTACCGTTCAGAAACGTAAACCACAATAATCGCATATTAACCTCACGAGATCTGACCCACATTGCAGCCTTTGATGTCCGTAGTCTAAGTCAAATTGGGCAACAGGCATCTCCTACTGAAACCTTGCTTCTCCGCTCTGCAGATGTATGTCGTGTCTCCGAAACATCCATACAAGACCCCACTTCGGTCGTGCACCTCAAGCCGCTTGAGACGAGCTCAGATTTTCCACACTCTTCGGGTATCCTGTGCTCGTGACCAGTTTGTTCATGGTTTATACGGTATGGGAGTGGCACTCGAACCCAAGGCTGAAAGCGCCTTACTGGACTGAATCCCAGTAAGCAGTCGTTTTTGGACTGAGCGACTGTCTGGTTGAATTAAGATCAATTCAGTTCGATACGGTAAACAATGTTTATTTGTCGTATCAGCATACGCCCCGACAGATAGCAGTTCTGAAACTGAGAAGGACGGGTTTTAATCGAGATTCGTTGCAACCGCTTCGGTCAGCAAGAAGGACGGATATGGTAATCCCACCGAGTGATATAGGTGCCCAGGTTAGACGACTAAGTCGGGAAGAAGCACAATTATGTGGTAGGTTTGGAGTCGATGCCCATCCTACGCATATTGGAGAGCGACTGCTTCATTTGTGTGCTGATCATCGTCTGTTCCTCGCCAACGCGAAATTCCAACACAAATGCTCACCTCAAGTTTCTTGGACGTCACCAACCACAAGGCAGTCATGGGCCCAATTAAATCATGTGGCTATCAGTTCCCTCGAATGTACGCAACCTGACTCTGATCATGTCATTGTGCGATCTCGGGTATCACTTCGCTCTCCCTCAGCACTACGCGTGCCACAGCAGAGCAGTTCTTCGACAGTTATCAGTAGCTGAAGAACAATTCCCACAAGGTTTTCTCCATGTGAAACTTATCTCCATTTTAATCTATTTTTTATCCCGCGATGTTTGGATACAACTAGGAATCCTCTGTCGACCAGGCCTCTCAAACGTCCGACACGCACCTTCAGAGAGGCGAAGTAGGCATGCAATTTGTCACCAGCACGTACATCCTCCCGTTCCACTGGTCGTTGTTCCTTGTGAACTTACAGTTTTCACACCTTTCTCTAATTCCAGACCAGCAATTATGTGTGTTCTCCATGGCAAAAGTTGAATAGTCTAACCGTCCGTGTACATTAGCCATCAGCTGCACAGTAGTGAATTTAAATGGGTATGTAGGCCATAAGGTCGTTCTCATCAGTTCTGGAGGATGGTGTTATCCAGAGACAGTTTGTCGCGAATCACTTAGTGCTTGGTGGCCTGTCTTGGGACGATAGCACTGATCATGACAGTAAAGAAGTTTTTATCCTGCCGACGGCAAACGTATACCCAAACACCTAGCTGTGTCATTACCGTTGCATGTCTATCTATAAGTATGCCACCGGAAACTTCGCATGTGTTATCACAGATGCACCAGATATCGTTAAGTGATCCTAGAAGGGCTGGGATTTTGAAAGTCTGGCAAGTAATGATTGAGGGGGTATCAAGTATTGAGAATGCATCTGATTTGGTGTTTGGTCGAGACATTGGCAAAGCGAGATTGATACAGGAAAGTGAGTTTACCGAGGTATGACAGCCGGAGCAGCTGTAATACACTTCATTTTTGTGCTCATAAATAGGCTGTGCAGCTTTGGCGCCTACTATGATCATCTGCGCATAGACCTTGAGAGTAGACAACTGTCGCTGCCTGTTTTGCCGTTGACTATCAAAATGAAGCTAGCTGTCGCATATTAGGCTTGTTGTTGTGGAAAGTACGTTAATTTTTCCTTCGCACAACGAACTAGTTTGGTCTGCTCTCGTTAAGGATGACTTGGGGGACAACTAAGAGGGATCAATTCGACAGCGGAAAGTCAGAGTCGTATATCGTTAATAACTCGACAGACTCTATCTAGCCTACCGGTGCACTGTTCTGGAGTGAACTGACTTATCCATCTCAGCCTTCCTGTTTTCAAATCAGCAGCCAGAAGACGGTGGTGCTTTTGATACCGAAGGTTATCCTTCATAACTGTCAACGAGGAGACTATGTTGTGACTAACATGCGCAATCTTCCCAAATCATTTAAGTTTCTTAAATAGATAATGGACGTGGCCAACCTTCTAGCTGTATTTGATTTTCTGTCCTTCCGTTGTTCACCCAACTTTTATTTCGTATTCGTGTTTATTTGGGAAATGGTTGCTAAACTCCAAAGTTCACCATTTTTTACTCTGACCATGTGAATCTTCCTCGGCGGCTGCTGTCTAGTTACTGACACTGAGGTGTGAAGTATGTCAACCTGGGAAGATTATAGCGGAGAAGTGTGATGTCCGGATTCCCCTCGAGGTATCGAATACCAGGGCGTGGCTTACTGAGTCACTGTTGTGGCTCTTCAGCAGAGGTGTGTCCGCGATCAGATCTCTCTGTCAAGACGGGCTCTTCCTGTCCAGCGTTCAACACTTCTCGACTGCTTGGGGATAACACTTTACTAATGAATATGTCAATCGATGGAGGACTCCAAGCACCTGTTGGTCATATGAACATGCTAATGTGAAGTGACGGTCCAGGATGATAGGGGGAAACTGCCCAGCTGTGTTGCTTTTCCCATGCACAGCTTTCGTCACTCCAGAGTCAGGTCCACATAGAACTTCCTATACTTGGCTGGGGACGGTGAAAAATATAGTTGAAGATTGATTTCAACGTTCAACATGTCTCTAATGGTTGTGATAGGCTGCCATTAGATTCCTATTCCTTTCGCTTTATATTATGCTCATTACAGGACGCTATTTAGACAGATGGGTATCGTCAGTTATGTTCCAGTGTCGTACGCTGTGTTCAGTTTGGCATTGATGAAGGTACCATGTCACATGGGATGTGTGAGGGACTGATCTATTCACAAGAACAGTCAGTCAGAATCCAGTTCAGTCAAATCCTCAACGTCTAATTTGGTATCCTTTTAATGAAGCTTTCGTCCTGTAAGTGAAGTCCGTCTGTGCTGAAATGTCGAGAAGCACTGTACAGCTGTTTCATCCTTATTGAGAACCTTCAACGGTGCGTAGCTCACGAAGTTCCAAAGTTTCGAATCTGCGACCTCCGTTTAGTAGTTTGAACACCTAAACGTTTGGCAGTGAGCGGCTGGTCAGCAATATGATTCGCTCACACTCAGGCAAGATATTGCACCACTCATCTTTCAGTCACGTGATCCAAAACACGTGTTCACACGTGTTGGCTGGCTCCTCAAGCAACGACCCCTCAGATGGGAGTTCCAGTGATCTGAATTCTACTACTCATAGATTGCTGGCAGTGTGAAGAGATTTGGGAATTTTGCCGGAGATTTCGTCCTGTAATTGTAGCCAGTCTGCTCTGAAATACTGAGAAGCACCGCATAGCTGTTTCATCCATTTGTCCAACTAGGATTGGACAACTATAAGCTGTTGGGAGGCCTGTTTGACCGAATTTCTACTTCATCCCATTTTTAGTTATTCCTTTCGGTCTTTCAGACTTATCGAGGGCACAAAAATATCCGATTTATTTTATGTATTATCGTAAACTAACCCTGATATATATATTTTCATTTTCCAGCAAGCCGCTTCTATTGACGAACACATCCCAGATTCTGTCTCTCCATCGAACGTGTTCTTGTGTCGCAGCGTCTATGATTATAGACTGAGGCGCGTTTGTCGCAATCTTCACTTCCACTCCCCGATTCACAGCCACTTTTTGGGTCAGTCGAGCCATCGATGGAAACCACGAGATAACCCAATTGAAGCAATGCCCTCATCGATTCCTGAACCGCCACTTTCACTTCGGGAGCACCCTTCGCCTTCCGTTGTGACACCACCTCCGATACTCACTCCGCCACATGAAACAATAATTCGATCGCCTAGTCCGACTTCGCCCTCCTCTCCTGCACTGCGTATCTGTGTGCCGGACTCTCCAGAACCACCCATCAACAACGCGGATTCTGACGATTCTACGCAACCATGTCGACAATTAGAGCCGACGAAGCCAACTTCGGTTTTTGCAACGTCGCCGCCAATGACTCGAGTACTTACGTCTATATCCCCCGTGGGTAGCAGATCTTGCGTCATTACACCCCCACCATTGACCCTAATCGAACTGCAGTCCACTCCGGTAAGGAATGCCATTACTACACTTCATTCGGCTACTACGACGAACAATGTTTCGGCAGTGCCTACGACATCTGTTCAACTCACTGCGGCCCAACCAACGAGTTTACCCATCCCAGTAGATTTTGTTCTGCAGAAACCCGTTGTGCAACACATGGGCCCCAACATGGGTTCATCCATGGGATACAATCCCCATTTCGTCACTGCGCCAGTCACCACAGTGTCCTCTTCACTTGTACCACCTGTTTCGTGGCATCCTGTCTGCGATTCCTCAGTTTTGGAAACCAGCGCAGATTTGTCCGTTAACTGGGCTGAGCATGGCGAACAGATCGCCCTTTCCTTGGATTGCAGAGAAAAGAATATTCCAAACATAACGCCAGTCACTTGCCAACAGACGATCCCATCTCATCCCACTGGTACTCAGTCGGCAGTGGATAGGTATGTCCGAACGGACCAGTTCCCGTCCCCAGTCGTATCGAATGTACAGTATATTTTGCCGACGACCCCACAAACCAGTCAAGAGACCGAGTCACCACGACTGATCCTTTTATAGGAGTTAGTACTCACTAGACATCCAGTTATTTCACAGGAATTTTTGATTCTATCCCATTTGACTTCTCTCTTTTTTTTGTGAATAACTCACTGTCATTTTTTGTGTTCAACGGGCGATTGCCCTCACCTCACTGATGCTCTGTTCAAGAAACCTTCATCTCTTCACTCCACAGACTCCATGTCATATTTTCCCATTACCGAAATAACTGAATCTGGACATCTTTTCCGGCGTTTCGTCTTACTTGTTCGCGTTTTTTTCGCCGTATCACCCAGTTGTTACAGATGCTCATGAATTAAATACTTTATCATCTCTGTGGCTTTTCGGATGCATTACGTTCTGCGCTGCTGAAAAATAACTCAACCTGAGCATGGGCACGGTTGATTGCCTTTTGAGAAAAGTTAGGATCCTGCCAATCAGTCAGGCCCTGTTGGACATCATTTTACCGAATATTAGACTGTTCACCAATAGTGCGTAGAAAATTGTATATGTAATTTTGCAGGTCAGTAGACGGTACCTAAACAGGAGGAAAGATTAGTGTGTTAAGATAGGAGAAAGACAAGCGAATGGTTAGGGAAATTTGTCCAAAGGTTCCTGTCGAAAGTGGGTTCCATGCTGAAGTTGATAATAACACTCGAATTATGCTGTATTCTCCATAATTAGGTGCGACGGCTGTCCAGACCGAGTTAATGTAGCCGTTTGTGTAATCGAGGTCTTCGTATGTGTTCACCACTGTTTATGTTCGTTGTTGATGTGGTTGAGTGAGTAAGGAGAAGTATGTTTTGCCTGAAATCAAAGGTTGACGGTCTGGACGGATCTCAGGCGCGTACGGACCTGACCACAAACCATGCGACCGGCACGTGTCCAAGATCGTTCCACGCTGGATGTAGTCCCGTATTGTATTTGACTGTGGTGCAGTTCGCGCGCACCATAGGTGTGACGGTACGCGATATTGTGCACACTTGCAACTGTGACGTGTTGGGGCAAAGTGTGTGTTGCTGCTGATCACCTTTTGTAATTTTCCAATCTGTTAGGCATGTTTTACTTCATTCGTAATTGTTCGATTGTTTCCGCCTCACGGACCCTTTCCGTTCTATACTCTATCTGCATGCCGTAAGTTCCTTCCATGTACTGACATTACATCGGTTGCCATTTAGAGCTCGTTACATTGACTTACAACTGTCCCCTACAATTTTCCGAATTGTTACAACCGTTCTTTTTAAGCTTGTTTATCCCTAGTGAAGAAGAGTACCTGGTGGAAAGGCAAGCCAATGAACTGACCGTGTCAGTATTTTTTTGTGACAACGGCTCACCTTTCATCATTCTGATTCGAAAGCGAGTGCTAGACGCGTTCATTCACCTCCCCTGTGTCGGGAGACACCAATTATCAGCCCTCTACTTGTATAGCGCTGTGTTCAGAAATATGAGATTTCTAATACCAAAGAATAAGAATCGTTGGAGCTTTCTTCCTGTTCAAGTACATGTATAACTCACACTTCTACTGGGGCTGAACTGTTTAGTCTTCGACTAATAGCCAGGAGTTTACGAGTCCCATTGCTCTTGGAGACTCGAGAGATGTGCATTGCTGACGATCCCCAATAAGGGCAAATGGCTTCTAGGCTTATTGGCTTAGATTTACTTCATTTACGGGACAAAAAACTCATTGAAGAATTTCCGAATCTTCGCCTACTGCCAGCAGATGAGTTTTAGATCGACTTCAAATGTGAACGAAATTTGAGTGACCAAGCAACCAGTTTATTAGTTGACTGAAGTATCCGACCCGTAATCAAACGATTCACTCAGTTTAACGAGTGCTATAAAACCCGGTTCTAGGATTGTTGGTACTGATACTCACAGAACAGTATGACATTCCTGCGTTTACCTCTCCGTCTATCTATTTGTCCGAACAAATATCGCATGTATTGACTGACTGATCAATGGATGGATGAAGAAACTGGAGACGCGCGCGACGTGAACTGTTTGCACACAAGTTGAGGAACTAATATATGTACGGACACATCCCTTGCTGGTGGGGAATAATGTCATAAAATATGGCGGAATATTTTGCTTCAAATAACAATCTAAAAACAGGCTGAGAAACAGTTATTTCCATTACTTCATTACACAGCTACTACTGGGTGCGTAACAGATCAGGCGACACTGAATAGTCCGTATTCATCTCGAAATAAGTTCGTCGCATTCTTCTAAAAGCAGGTATACAAGGAGAATAAAGTCGTGCAGCACGTCAGAACACATTGGAGTAATCCTGCAGATGACGCAAATAGATCTGTCGCTGTGTATGCATTGAAAGCTCACATATCAGAGCTACGCTTCAATTTTACCCCACAAGGACCTCACTCGAATGTAATTTGAACAAAGCATACCATTTTTTCGCATCACTTGTTGGAAGTATAGTGTTCTACCAGTGTCTCGCTCCGTAGAATCCCAGTGTTGCTACGCTGGACAATTGTAGAGATCAACTGGCGGGGCTCTGATCGTCTTTAAACTACTGACTTCAGTAACGCTATTTATATACACGTTTGTTCCCATGATCTGTACACATGTAATTAGGCCACAACTAGATGCAATATTCGCCGTGAAATTGACGTGGTAATTTTTATGCTGCTGTATGCAGTAGATAATTCCGGTGAGATACTTTGTTGTACGTATTGAGTTGACTTAACTACTGCACATACTGTTTAGGTCCACAGAGAACTTCCGCTGGGGATCATTATTCAAGCGGGCAGCAGTCGTGATCCAGGATTGCCTTTGTTTGGAGAGTTCTGTGGTTTGATTGTTTTGTCTTCTGCAAACAGGGATGTATTATGCTCCTTCGATAGTTTTGCTACGGTGAGACGTTCCAAAATATTGACAATGTTTTACTGCAGTGAACAGTTTCACGCCAAGTTCCTCGTATGGCAAGGTCTACCATTATTTACTTGAAAATAACTGTTTATAACTTGGTTTGCCCAAAGGTATCCATTTTACCGCACTGTGCGTTGCTATCTGTTTGTACGTGCGCATTTGAAGTCGTACCTAACGAGTGTCTGGGATTGCCATTTGATCTCACTCTCAGGTCTTTGGTAGTGAAATTTTATACTGCATTCTCGATTGTCCGATTATTCGATCGTTTCCAACTCCATGCGGTTAAAGTTATTAACCCTGGGAAACGGAAAACAGGTAGTGAGCAGTTTTACTAGTTAGATTGTTTCGGTTACCTACTTGAGTTACCTCATGATTGGGAACTTGGAAGTACATCACAGGATCAAGGCAGTGTGTATTTGTAAGTGAACCGATTAGCTTACGAATATCGTAGGAGAGTAGATTCAGCGTTCCGATTCGGAAACACAGAAACGAAGCTTGTGAAGACGGATAACTGTTACTCTTCGAAAGGACAAAATCAGTATAGGGCATATGGATTGTAGGGGACACTAATACTGAAGAGCGTAAAGAGAAGGTGTATCAGTGGATGAGTGATACCGTATATATTGTAGGAAGCAGACAAATGTGATTGTAGAACTCCACCGAAAATTCTCCCACTCGGTGTTGTCCAATCACAATATAACATCTATAGGACGGTTTAGAGAGCCGAGTAACACATGCCGTAAATTTAGTCATGAAACACATGGTGCTAGATTTCATGAATAACGGAATAGGTTTGTTTGTTAGACCAACATCTGGTATAATAAAACAATGATTTTCGAAGCGAAAGTAACATCTCTGAGGATCAGTACTCATCGGACATGCTGAAATTATGGACAACAAGCGGCACACGATATTGAAGGTGACGCTGTCGATGAAGGCAACTCAGTGATACACGTTGATACATAGTTTTTCCAACTCATCTAGATCTCGGTCTCTGAATTGGAAAAGAGCCATTGCTTGGATTGCATTTTGTTAAGCACTGCAGTCGAATACGTCTAAGATATTTACGATTCTGGGGTTATGATTGCGGCCGTCGGTTGCTGGTTAGCAGTCATTTATCTTTACAACGTCAGATTGCATGTTGCTAGCCAGGAGTAAAAACTGTGAGCGCTGTATCTACTTCATAAACGTAGTTTACGCTACGGTTACCAAATTCAGTTAACAAAGATCTTTCGTCAAAAAAGTATTACTGCAGACATTCGTATGTTTACTGTTTTGATAGGATTCAGTTTTTCGGTTAAATAACTCTGTCGACTGTGATCGTCTTTTGTTTACAAATAACCAAACTATGGATGTGAAAATATTTTCAAACAGTACGTGCCAGAGTCAAACAACGAACGTCCTCATACTGAATTCAAAAAAGAATGTTTTTCGACCCCTTTTTTATTTTAGGCTGCTCAAGCTTCGCGGGGAAAGGTTTCGTTATCACTCAGAAAATCCATAAGCTTTCATGAAAATGGAACAGGTGCACTAGAAAGGTAAACCAAATTACTACTCTTTGTAGTATTTGCCCTTGCAAGCACAACACAGGAAATGACCAATACTGCATAGTTCTTGAAATATTCACCACAGAAAAATTCCTTTTGATCTTTTTCAATGAGAACCTCCCCGGGGTCTGTTGACGAGTCCTCTAGTCCCGGTAGAAAAGGCTGGTTTCACAGTCATCACTGTAAACTGGGAGTGGTGGTTCAGCAACGTCAGACCTTGACAGTACGCCAGTGGAAGCAGACTCTCAACTGTGAACCAACAGTTGTGACACAACCATAGCTTGTGTCTAGGTGTTTTTAGCGTATGTATCAAAGCGACCAGAATGTGTCCTAGAACGTAGACTGAACAACTCGCTGATTAGGACATTGTGTTTGTATGTGCTGAGTCAGCGCGTAAATTGCCAACTGGACATACTCTAGTTGAAGGGCTGGCAGCGACATCCTTCCGCATCAGGGTTTGGCGTTTCCCCGATGAGGGTGCAGTCAAGGGTGAGCCTCCTCATGTCTGTCGGTTCGCTTGACGGAATAAATTATCACTGATGTACTTTAGTATAAGCTCGAGACTTTATAAAGGAATGAGTCCGAATTTCGGAGCGGCTTATCATGATCTCTTACAAAATGAAGTGAAAATCGAGATCCAGATTTTTTCCCTTTTCACTCAGCTGTATTTTGGCTGGGTTGGGGTGGTACTAAATCAAACCTTCATTGCGATTCAAAGTTGAAATTTTGTTGCACAGGGATGCATCTGGTTTTGGTATATTCTATCATAGTTTTAGGCCATCCCTTCGAATATTACGAATCTCCTCCAATTTCGTCGTGAATGAGCTTCACAAGATACCGGATTACTTAGAGACGCTGAACAAATAATATATATTAAAATATATATAGGAATTCTTGTCAGTGCTGGTACTTGTTTAGTCCCAGTTTGAATTTGTTCATGATTGGTCGGTTTCAGGATGGCAACCTCCATGACAAACCACCCATCTTGTGTTAACCGCAATATTCCTGGGCAACATAACAACTGTTCTTATGAAACCTACCGAAAATGAGGCTTACTCCTGGTTTATCGTCCAAGTCAGATCCAGTAACTAGACTGCGAACATGTTGTAGCGACATCGCAGAAAATGTCTGTTCATCCGTTGTAATAAGTGCAGATAGGCTGATCTCGGTATTGGCACCGAGATAGCGATGTGGTGAACTGGTAAGGGTTGTGAACGGAAAAAGACAACGGGGCTATTTTCTTGTTTACAGCTTGTTAGATCAACACCTTCGGGTAGAGTCGAATCAAGCTGCAATGTAAAATATAGACTATGGATGAGTTTTCTCCAGGGGAATATCAAGAGTGATAATTCACGCACTAGATAGCACAGTTTACCTGCTCGCAAATATCCTAATATTGTGCCGCGTTCGTGAGTCGAAGCGCTGCAAAAGGTTAGCAAAGTCGTGTTTGTTTTAATTTTGTACATAGAATAGGCGGGACTGAAGTAGAACTAAAGTTTCTTAACATAGAATTTTGAGAGTCGTTAATTAGGATTATTCCCCTGATTAAATTATCTGCGAATACCATATGAATCTAAAATCCACAATTTTGGTAAGACTATTTTCATAGTTCACCCAAACAATGGCCATTCACGGCGAGCTACTATTTCATGTGTTTGATTGCGGGTGGTTAGTTGCTAGTTGGTAGTTGATCAACTGGCTGCTGATCTTTTCGTCGAACTTGATGACCCATCAGCGCAGAATCAGTCGTCATCTGCCTTTACAGAATGTGTAGTCGACTCGTGCGGACCGAGTGCATTAGCAAGCGTAACCAGCAGTTTGCTTGAATTTCCCCTTTGAAAGAATACTAGAAACGGTTTGTTGTGGGTGATAATTGCGCAACATGCAATGCATACGTCTTACAGTTGTAAAGTTGTTTATGCGACTAAGAGTTCGATACTGTTCGTCGTCCTCAATTGCCTAAGTTCATTGTGGATGAAGGGCTACTTTTGATGTTACCATCAAAGGTGCACGGTCCACTTTTACTCCACGGTGCTGAGAAAATGGTTCAATTCTTAGCCTATACAAAATCACAAGTATATCCATCTTGATATTTATCAATCACCTATGGGCAGCCACCAGTAACTGTTGTCCTCTGCGCGAACCTGGTGCTCACGAAACCGTAGATCCCATAGTATTCATTATCTGAACTTTCTCTTTTCCCCTCATATGGTATTGAATTAGACTCAGGGTCTCACCGCTAAATGATGCATTTCGGACGAGCTCCTACATGTAGTGACGGCCTTGTGACCAACGAGGCATTTACATCCACTGTTTAGCGAACAACCTTGCAGCAGTCGAGCAATACGGTCGGTTAGGAGGTACCCGTTTCCCCATGCACTTCGAGTCACCAATGAGACTTGGGATGCTAATTGTTGATTGACTGAATAGTACTATGATGCCACCCTGAAAAGTGACGATTTCCTCGTATGTTTAACCCTTGCTGATTCAGGGAACCCGTGAGGCCAATTTTAGTGACAATTGGTTAAAAGTAGAGTGAATCAACGAGCTGAAGCACCATTTCAATGTTCTCAAAGCAGGAGTTGGATGTTTGGGTTTGTCGGTTCATAACCAAACCAAACTGGGTACGGTGTAGTGGGCATATTCAGCGACCCTGAAATTGGTAGAAACAGTAGGTTATTTTTCAGACTTTTGCAACGTCGCTGGTTTGAGTGAAAAAGTGTTAAGCATGGAGTTAGTACTCACCTACCAAAGTTTGACATCTTATTTCATCCAAATTTATCTGTCGGTTTAGGGCACAGAACAAGAAGTCCGACTGTAATATGTGATCGGAAGGCAATTTTCCACGATCGTCGCTGACATTTAACGTCCGCACTCCATCCTTTTCTTCGACAAATCTGCAGTGGTGTAGACTTCCGTGTTTCCAATACTGTGACCGAACTTGTTTGAGCTGAAGTTAAATGGCGATAAAAGAATACAACCGCTTTCGAATTCGATGTGGTGTGGACCCAACCTGGTTGAACTGGGCCACATTGGGAAAGTCCAGTGAATTCAAACATGCTATTTGCAGTGGAATAAAGGAAAGGATTGATAATTCAAAACGGAAATGTATGTATAGGTATGTCACCACAAGATCGACCTGAAATTCGCCAGTATCTCTAGAATGAGTCGATAGTATTTGGCTCACTTTTACCGACAAACTTGTGGGGCCTAACAGACAATAGAAGAGTGACAAAGTACCGCCGTACATGTTTTTAAGGGTCAGTTTGTGGATGTGCCGCGTAAAGTGACTACTCTTTCCCCCGGTATATCTGTGTCAGCTAGTTCCAAATGAACGGATCATGAGTGTCACAAGGACTTTTAAACGTAGTCAAAATGATTCACTATGTTACAAAGGTCGTGAGATTTTGTTAGCTTTCGATGTTCTAACATCATAACATTGGAAGTGATTCAAAACACGATGATCAGATAACTATGCGGCGACATTTATACCATGGAACGACTGAATCAGTTGGGTGGTGACTTGATAAACAGATCTATCCCATCACCGTTCACTCATATCCCAAATCCCGATGATCATAGGCCATCTTTGTCATTGGAACGTTCGGTTTTCAGAAACACCCAATCGGATTCACTGTGCATTATACCAACTGGTGGGCAGGCTGTTCGACTATATGTGGATGCTTCATCATGAGGAGGTTCGAAAAACGTTAATGAAACCAGGTACTCACCGCTGCACATTTGTTCGAGCTGCTTTCGTCTATGCCGTTCGCATCAAACACGACAATGATTTCTATGGTCAGATGAAAAGTGACAATTAATTTTATGCATTTCAACAATGCTGATGGGTAATCTCTGGCAAAAAGTTCTGTCAATGCGCTGAACTCTGATGAATGGTAGGCATACAGTACACTAGCAATAGGGGAAACTAGGACCAACACAGATTCCTGTTCTAATTGGTATCCACGTTTCTATTCGAATCCTACAATCCAGGAATTAGAGAGTGAGAGTGCGCAGAATAAGACTCCTACATAATCATTTTCGGAATTAAAATGGTCAAATTTCTTGCACGGAGTAAACACGATGACGGTCGATTTAACATAATCCGATTATAGTGTTCTAGGCTACATAGCGTATATAACTCCCATCCAGACACAGATAAAAGCAGATTGAAGCAACATCTGTGTCAAAATCACCTGACAGACATACAATGAACTTAACCGGTGGGCTGCATTCAAAAAGGATCGTCTGAGTCAAAAACTGATGAGCAATCATATTTCCAGCTGATATGATCTGTCGCCAAACGCATAACAGGGTGGTACGAAGTCCTGAGGTTGGTGATAATTTCACAAAAGTGCTGGGTGAGATTTCACTTTTGCTCCACTTATATCTGAACGAAGCGGCAAAAATATGACACCAAAAATCCCACTGTGTAAAACAGCTATTGAACGAGGTTCACTTTACAGTCAAGCGGTTTCACATACGTGTTTTTTATACGAAACGACCACATATTCACTGATTTATTTTCCATGTGGATCTCTCTTAATTTATTGTGTATTCAAATGCGATGATTAATACATTAATACCTGCTGGTTGAGAATGACGTTGTGTCTGACGGACCAGTGCCCGGGTTGAGTTGTGAGCTGTTTCTACGTCTTGACCTAATGGATGCAACATGGAGATCGTGTATTCCATGTGCTGTGTTAAACTAAGGACAGAAAACAGCAATCAGGTGCCTGTTTACACCACGGCAAAACCACAGCAGAACTTCGAGGATGCATGGAATGGGATGGAATGGATGGAATGAGAGCGAAACTTTCCGACCTCAGTTTCAACATTTCAGGGCTCAATTGTGTCAAGAAAACTTGCCTTCAGTTAGGCATCTGTTGTAAGGCTCTTTCCCATGCCTGAATCCCCTTCATTGTACTCTATTCAGCACGTACTATCACAACGATTGTTTCGGAATTCTGCGAAATTCAATCAGTAGCCACGAAGTCTGAACTGAGGTTTGTTGCCGTCCTCCTCTGCAGTATGCATTGTAACCAGTCGGCTTTATGCAGGCTGCGATGTATGCAAATGTGCTGCAAGCAGTCCAGAATGAAAAGTTATGGGGTCATGAATTCCAGAAGTTCAATACTGGAAAATGGATTGTTATCAGACATAGATTTTCATTATTTTTGGTGTTCACATGTAGTTCCTTTAAAATGATCCAGTGGTTACAAACACTCGTATTCATATTCACATGGGCAGGTTTGATACAAAGCATATATATGTGAGCCCAACTTACCTCTTCTCACACAAGACCACATTGAACAGGTGGAGAGAGCGGAGTGGCTCGGCGTGACTGGGCTGATACGCAGATAGATTTATACACATCAACCTTGTTGGATGTGGCTGTAATCCTGTCTCAGCATACCAAGCAGCACAGAAAACATAAACCAGCATTCATCACATCACACGAAAATCACAATAACAAGTGGTAGGCGATAGTCGGTTTGAGTATCACACAGCACTGTGTGGCCAGTGACCTTTGAGTTGATTTATCATCATGGTAGATTGTGCTGCAGTTAACCTTACCTATTCCAGATTGAGTGTTGCGCGCAGTGACCCACTTGACTCTCCAGTTTGATGATATTCACTAGTGAGTTCGGGCAACTTCCCCGAGTGATAGCCGTAAGCTGGTTGGACTGTGGTGATCTGTGTTTAGAAAAGCTAGTCGAGGGGAATAGATCCTCTGCAAGCGGAACCTGGTCTGATCAGCACCGTTTACACATGCCCCTTCAAAACATATGGAAGCCTATCAGGATGGCTAAGTTACTTAGATCATCAAATGTGTAAATCATGGTTCCACGGAAAGCCAATTGGGAAAAGTTGGACCTGTACTCATTTGTGTGTGCATACTGTGGATAGCGTAACCCTTCGTGGATCTTCCACCACTTAAGTCCCTGTTTGTAGCGTAGAGGCGTAAAAAAAGTTAAACAGAGGTGGGTGAAAATCTGGTTTTAGAAGAGTAGTCATCTGAGTTTAGTTGTTGAACAATTCTAGGGTAGGTGTGAATACTCAGAGACCACCCCTCATGTTGGTCGCCAAGTGTAGTGTACAACTTGATGCAATAGCCTGGCAATTTAATCGAACGGATGGAAGCATAGCATTTGATAGGGGTGTAGAAACCGAAGGTCTTCAGGCGATGCACCGAAAATACAAAGGACGTCTTAGGCCGAAAGTGTCCAGTAGTTATGCATCCCACTCGTGGTTACAAAGCATAGTTCTGCACCATGGATTTAGTCCCCAATAGTCAGCACGTAAAGACCGTGGCGGAAATTTTGGGCTATAGTATGGAAGTCTGCTGCCTGAGAAGCATTCGTCTGCTGACTTGAGCTTTGACCGTGAGCTGGGATCTTGTGTTGCCAAGGCTAGTTTGGCCTTTGATAAACTTCAGAAGTGGACCCGGATGAACCGAGGTGTAATCGAATCTAGTTCCAGGCAATGGATGTGTCTGCCCTCTATCAGGACACTGAAACAGTGAACCTACATCGGCACAACCTGTGGGGCTAAGTAGCTTTGACGTCTAATGCCTGAGACTGATATATGCTGAACATCTGCACGACGCAGAGGTCCGCAAATAAGGCTCATTGTGATCGGCTGCATCATATTCAACCGTCTGAGGTGACCGTTGCAATGTTTTCTAAGTGGGAAAGAAGAGGATCCCCAAGCAGATTTTGTATGGCCAGCTGGATATTAAGAAAAGGATCATCGGAACGCAAATTCCTAACTATCTGGATGTTCTGATCGAAAGTCTAGAAACTGGTGGCGTAAACTTTGTGAAGTACCAAGCAAAAGCATAGAACAGGGAAGAGTGAACGAAAACGGTCCTTACATGAAACAGGGTGATTTCAGGGCCAAAAGCTGACGATTTTCCAAGCAATTGGTCACACAGTGACTGGCTGTTCATGGCATTCCGTCACGAAATCGTAGAGTAGCCGATCCGCATTAAAATGTGATTACCGCAATGAACCATTCCTCAATGAGAAAATTAGTAATTAAGCAATGAACGCTTTGAATTAATGGACTTCAAAGTTCAAGATTAGGAAATCTCGAGTGCCATAACAGATAATGTTTGTGGTATGTGTGGTGAGGTGTGAACTTTACAGTGTTTGTTGACATAGCACGTGGGATGAGTATTTGCTTAGGTCATTCAGAGGAACTTGAGGCATGTTTTGTTGAACAAGCTTGAATTGTTTACTGGAAATCTCATTTGCTGAAAACCGACCATAACGCATATTGCACTTGCTGTCCGTTGAAGACAATGTTTTGAATAAATGCAAAATGGTCGGAATATAGATGCGCAGTGGAATTTGAGTTGAAGGTTTCAGTTTGTCTTTTTGATTGTTCTCATGAATACATCTGGTTGTGCTTCTAGCATGAGCGTTAGAGTGCGCCTAGTTGCATACTTGATGAAGGAGGTGATTGAGAACGCAAAGGCATGACGAAATTCTTGTTTGCTAGCTCATCTGTCACCCTTAAACAACAGCGACTCGAACTGATCCAACCGCGTGTTGATCTAATTCATACACATAATGGTAGTGAGGCTCGATATGGTACATTCGGTTTGTTGTTTTGATTTCTCGTAAACGTCGCTGACGCTGTTTGAATTTATTGTTACAGTGCATGTATGCTTGTCCAAGCAGGCAAATGGGAACCCATCCCCGATATGGCCCTTAAATTCATACTCCGTGATCAACCAAAGTCCGTCTATAAGCCTCCGTCAATAACAACTCTAACTCAACCGCTTACGTGGTCGTCACTTTCTTGTATGTTTCAGGCTCATTGTGATCCTAAGATTGGTGATCCTAAAGGCAGAACAAAAGAGTGGTCACTCCACCATTTTTTGTTCTGCGAGGTGTGTAGTTTCATCCTATGTATCAGTGATCACACCTGAAGCTTTATGACAGTGTTTCGAAATGAAAAACTGTTTTGTTTGGGCAAAGAACGCAACAGTTCGTACTATGTAAGACAGAAAGCCCCCCAGTAAAGTAATAAACAGTTCAACTGGGTAAGATCAATCATCATGGATTTGCATTTGGATCGAAACTACTTTATTGAATATATTTGGGCCATCGGTGGAGATTTAAGCCTGTATTTCATCTTATGTTACGCCGAGGCGATCGGAGGGGTATTCACTGGATTGTACCGGAAGAGAATTTCGATTGCGTTCCTCCGCAACTTATCGTGCCCTATGACGACATATGATGGCCTTTAATGAAAACACAGACTACCATGTTCAGATTTGATTGGATTAGTAGCCCTAACATATATACCGTTTCCCAATGTGGTAAATGCATTCTGATAGAGGTCAAAGAACGACATTCATGGGCTTTCTTCGTCAATACAAGTCACATACTCTCACGTACGCCAAAAGACTCTGCCAGCTATGTCAGGCTGATGTTTTCAAACAGCCCAGTGACCACTGTCAGGACTAGAGCTTTTTTCGAAAGTACAATCATTATTGTAGTGGCAGACAGGTTTTCATGCATGTTATACCGACTGAAAAAATGTTTGCGACAACCATAAATCTTCCCGATACACTCCATCCAGACATTTACACGGACAAGCCGCATACATAAGTACACAAATATGATCTGGTGTCCAGCGTATCCGCTATTTTTCTGGCGGTTGGTGAATGTGCCACTGGTCTTTGCAAACTATGACCGACTGCACCAGTGATCTTCACAGCCCTTCATTAGCGCACCATCTCGAGGACAGAAATTATTTTTCGTAGTGGAAAATTAGGAT